GGTCTCAGGGGGCATCCACAGAGAACACCAGGGCAGAGCAAGATACACGCTTCAGAGGTACCCCACAAATCTACTTCCTCCAACCAGGCCCCACTTCCTAGAGTTTCCGCTTCAAAAGGACCATGAGCTGTGGACCAAGAGTTCAACACATAAGCTTCAGGAGTTTTTTTGAGCAGTTTTCAGTTATATACCTTTTTTTTTTTTAAACCAATAAATAACTTTGGGCAGAAATAGAAAGGTCATTGTTCAGAGTAATGTGTGAGGCTTTGCCATGAATTCTAGTCCTTTGGATCCCAGAGTTTTGCTGACCCCATCTCAAAGCAGTGTCTTCAATGACTTCAGGGTTTCCCCCTTCATACTGTGGAATCAGGGCATGAACACACAAGGCCACAGCCTGGCTTTAAACTTGTTCACCATTTACTTCTGGAAAATACCTTCAGCGCTGCCAAGACTAAAAAGGTTTTAGTTCAGTTTGATTTCTCCCAGAGAGAAAATGTTGATAGTGTGAGAGAGATTCTGCTTAGGGGTAACTACAGCACCTAGCGTGGTGCCTAGAACATATTACAGGCTGCAAAAATATGTGCTGAATGACTTATTAGCCATTCATCACATTCTTGGGGGAAAGAAATGAGAGGGAACGAGCAGGGTATTAGACCTCTATTGCTGGGACAAAATACCTGAGCTGAACAATGTAAAAGGGGGAAAGATCTGTTTTGGATCATGGTTTCAGAGTTTCATTCTACCGTCAGTTGATGCTGCTGCTCTGCGTCTGTGGTAAAGCAGAACATCATGGAGGAGAGAGCACGGTGGAGCAAGGCTGCTTCCCTCCTAGGGGCTGGGAAGCAAGAGAGACCAGGATCTCAACCTCCCCTTCCACCCCAGCCCCAACGTCTTAACCTCCTCCGTTAGGCTCCACCTCCTAAAGATCCCACTATCTCTCAGGTGAGCCACAGGCTGGCCACCAAGCTTTTAACACAGGAGCCACTGGAGCGCACCTGCGACTCCAACCATCATAATCAGGAACAGAAACAAAGTTGGAAAAATATTGGAATTAGGAGCCAAACGAGGGCCCACCTAGTACGTACTCTTAGAATGCCAGTTTTCGTTACTGTACGTGGTGCTGCCTGCTGTGCCAACCACTGCTTTTCAAAATTAGTGGCAGCTTAGGAAGGTGACTGCTTCTGGCCTAAAGCTAATCACGCCGATTCAGCTGGCCAGTTTCAGCCCACTCCTCTCTATCTTGTTTGGATATTTAAAAACATATCTTGTGGGATTCATTGTCTGCGAACTTCCAGACTCATTCTTGTTACAGTGTTGACTTTTTTTTAATAGCCATTCATTTTCCTAGCTCTACAAGGATAAGGACCTACTCTGGGTTCAGTGAGGCCTCGGCCGGTGCAAAGACATATCACAAGTGAAAAAATGTCGAAGGTGAAACCTGGAATACAAAGTTGTTTAAACAGGTTCATTAGCTACAAATATTTCCCCAAACACAGGTTGTCTTGCTTCCTTCCCTTGAAAACAGAGCGAGCAGCCCAGCAGCAAATCAAGGTGTTGCTTTATCTTCGCAGACAGCCATGAAGCTGGCCGGAAAGCGGGGTACAGCAGTAGCTGGCTAAAGCTGGGATCCCCACTTGCCCTGATTTTGACTTGGATTTTTTACTCAGATTATGTTTGGGCCTCCAGAAGATTTATTCAGCCAAGCTGACTTACGGCAGTAAATCACTAGTTAACCATACTTCCTAATCACATAAATACGGTTTATGGGGTGATATAAAATCGTTCATGAAATCATTTTTGAATCATCTTTTCAACAGTAATTATACCAGTCCTGTAATACCTTAAAACCTATGATACTGGCATCAGTTCACCTAAGCATCTTTAATATTCTGCTGATTATCATGCAAAATTGTCAGTGCAATAAAATGACAGGCTTGTGCTTAATTCCTCTTCTTCCACTGCATTTCTTTTATTTTTCCCCCTTTCGCATTAAAACATACTTCATAACATTTCATCGCAGGAGAAGGCTGCGTAAGTTTCCAGTCGCTGTAATTTAGTTAAACCATAAAATTGTTTCCAGATTACCAACCATGAAATGGAAAGACAATCTTATTTATGAATTTATAAATCAGATAATCTCTCTCAAATGAATCCTGAAACCAGAAACACTTTCGTGATTAAGTAGGGGAGAAAAGTTTTCTCATTACCATGTGTCAATGGAATTGTGTTTTCCTGGAGTGGTTTTGGGCGAGACAGCGGAGCGCGCATGCGTGATCAGCTCAGCCCTGCTGTCCTGGCGACGGAGAGGGAGCAACTCCCCCCGCTGTCTGGCCCAGAATCTCAACTCTGGGGAGGATGGCAGGTGAATGGCCATCTGACTGGGTGTCTCTGAGACCTCGGGTCTCCTTCCACACCAGCTGGAAGGGGCCACGCGGGAGCATTCATGCCCTCCTTACCGGGTCGGGATACAGGGCTTTTGCTCCGAAGCATCCAAAGTCACGCCCCAGGTAGTACAACTCTGTCGCCACTGGTCCTCAGTGAGGAGTGGGATGTGATTTAGGAGTTATCTTTATACACATGCAGAAGCCACGATCTGGGGAAAGCCCGGGGGAGAAGCCGAGCACCCACAGAGCCCAGGGAGATGCCAAAGGCGAGTATGGAGCCCGTGGCCCCTTGTGGAGGTGGCCACCTGTGCAGTGCCGTTCTGTAGTTTTATCCAGCTGAGGACCAGCATGCACTCTGCAGAGCCATCCCAGGGCGTTGTTTTGGTTCTGATGCTACTGCTCCGCTTTGTTGGCAAGGCGATGAAGGCCATAGGCTGCAGAGGGGTCAGAGGGAGCACTAGGTTGGTCCTGGTCACACTGTACCCGTGGGCAGTGTTGGAATCCAGATCTGCAGCACGTCCTTCTGCCACTTCCCTCTTGGCAGACATCTGTGTCCTCTCTGCCTCTGTAGAGTCACCTGTCTCTCTGCATTTCCTAGTGTTGTGTTTGTGTGCTTAGCTGTCATCCTGCCATCCCACCCCACACGCAGTCGCTCAGGACTTTAGGCCCCTTCCTAACCAAAGCTGGGTAGATCATAGAGCTGCCATACGGCTTAAATAAAAACAGTGCTTGTCGAGGACTGGATAAAAGCAACCAGCTGGTAGCTCTGAGTTCACCTCCTGCCACCAGTCATGAGTCCTACTTCCAGCTCTGCCGTGGACAGTCAGTGCCTGTGGGAGACGAGGGTCTGAACAACGCCACCTATGCCGAGCATTTTCCCCAAGTAAGTCCCTTTCCTCCCAGGAGTTTGTGTGAGTTGGTATCTCCCATGTGGCACGTAGCCTGGCCGACCACTGCCCCATCATTTCCAAGATCCCACTGTAACTTGGGTCAATAAATGGGGTATCCAGTGTGTTTTTGCCAACTTGTTTGCCTTGTTTGAATTTCTTGCTAATTTTTTCTCTTTGACCCTTTGACCATTTGGCGGGTGGGGATGAGGCAACCACGAGCGCAGGTGTGGTGAAAACCACTCTACAGTGCGAGCTGTGGCATCTGCTGTCTGGAAGCAGTTGTAAGGTGGCCCTGTTCCACCTGCAGATGCATTTCTGTGCTTCCCACGTGAGAGTTCGTCTCTCCGCTCCATTAGAACAGAGGCATCGTAACATTCATACTCACATGTGGGACCGGGGTGGGTTTACAGTCATTAACTCTTCTGGCTGCCTACCTGACCTCCAAGAAACTCAGTACTGTGACACAGCCATCAGTTCTACCCACAAACTGAAGTCAGGAGCTTGTAATTGCAAGATGAAACTTGCCATGCCGTTACATAAGGCATGGAAGGTTATATTCTGAAGGCCACACCGAAGGCCCTGAGGCTCACCAAGTCCAGGGTACAGAGATATACCAGGTCTTGACCAGTTGCTTTTTTCTAGTGATAGACTAGGCCACTACTATTAGGGTTTGCACCGAGCACACGGTGGCATAGCTGAGTTGTATGTAAGAGTGACAGTGTGATGTGCTATTTGTCGCCCAGCAATTACCATCACCCACACTGCGGCCCACAGCCCTGAGACCCACAGTGCTGCTTTGCCTCAAGCCCGTGCCGGGACACCTGGCAGTGGGTTCAATGGCAGGCCAGATGCCCACACACTGACTTCTCCCATCTCTTCCTTTCCTGTTTTTGGCTACCGAGTATGTGCGTGTGAATTCATAGGAGGGGAACGGGGATGCCACTCTTCACCTAGTTGTGCTGTTGTTTTTATAGTGTATTGAAAATAATGGTAAGAGTTCGTGAAACGACTATTGCCTGGGGCCCGAAAACATGAGCCTGTTTCAGATGCCTGGTGTGGCACCAAAGAGACCTGAAGAGAACAGCGTGGTGTCCGTCCGTGCTCAGTAACTGAAGGGGCATTTTATTAATGCCCTGGGATGAACAGGTTGTCACAGATACTCGCTTTCCTGTTTGATCCCAAGTTTCTGTGACATTACATGGAGCATCTTCTGCTCCCAAGCTGACGTCGGCCTCAGCCATGTATACTGTGGTCTGGATAAGAGATATTCATGCTTTTCTTGGGCTACACAACAGGTAGGATGGCACATCCAGCAAACCTCTCCGTCACTCACTCTAAAACCAGGAGGTGACCTTCTAGCTGAGGAGAGCAGCTTGAAGCTGTGTGTGGCTGTGCAGTTCCTGCCCCAGGGCATGCTTGGTCCGGGGAGGAGCTCTTCCATGCAAGGTGAAACATGATCAGGGCAGAAAGGCTCAAAACACAACACACGTGTTAACAGAACTATTTACTGGGGCGCTGTCTTCAGGTCTTTACTGGTCTACACTGTGTGTTTTTAGTGTGATCTCTGATCACTCAGTCCTGACGTCAGCCGAGGACTTGGGGTCTCTTCTTCAGTTTTCTAGGTGGCACCTTTTGGAAATTTTAAAATAATCAGGTAGATCCTTCACCGAGAAAACCCAGTCGGAAAATCAATAGAGCTTTAACAAACAATTTTCTTGTTTTCCAGAGAGAGGATGCAAGCCATGGAGAAGCAGATCGCCAGTCTAACTGGCCTTGTTCAGTCTGCGCTTTTTAGAGGGCCCATTACAAGTAGTAGCAAAGATGCACCTAGGTAAAAAGCCACAAGCCATCGGAATGAAACATAAGTCCACCTGTTTCTCTTTAATCATTAAGATCATTCATTCAAATTCGCTTCCTCGTAATCATTTCAAGGCTGAAAATATTCATATCTCTGTGATTCATGGGTTTCGGTTCATTTTGTTTACCTCCTGGTGACTCTTGGACGAAGGTGACACTTTGGCCAAGAAGGGTAAATGAGCTTCCCGGTGCATGGGGCTCCGTGGACCACTCACTGTGCAGTGCCTGCCAGCACCACCACGCATCTGCACCATATGAAAGTCCCCAGTGTGCCCACTGCGCCCAGCCCAGGGTCTGAATCCCACCCAGGAAGCCTTTTCCATCGCAGCCATAGTTCCCTCATGGCTCCACCATCACCACTGTTCGCTTAGAAAACTGACCTGAAAAAGGCATTTTGGAAAACAGCTGACTCTGCTTTTCTTTTATTCAGTGAGAAAATGATGAAAACCACAGCCAACAGGAGCCACACAGACAGTGCAGGTGAGTGAGGGTTCCCGGAGCCCCGGCAGGCCTGGGGCCGCCTGGGGTCCACCCTGGCTGAGCAAACACAAGGGGCATCACTTGAAAACGGCTGCCTGCGTAGCACTTTGCACTCCGAGAAGCTGGAACTGGAATGAGTGATCTTACGTGTGTTGAGTGTTAAGTGCAGGATGTGTGTTGGGCTGATAGCGTCAGCGTCCTTGGGGTGTGACCCAGAGCAGGGGCAGAGGTGTTTAGACTTGAGGCAGAGAAAGGTGGAAGGGACTCCGGTGCCACTCTGCGTGAAACGTGAAGCTGTCAGAAGGTCGCTGGGGAACGACACCAGCCCTGCTGCCATGTGGGAGTAGATGAGAGGGGACAGAGGCGAGTAGGGAGTGATCGGTGATCCAGGTGGGAGAAAAGGGTTTGCCTTTGAAATGCTAGCACTCCCCCACCAGAGAAGACTATGTTAGTTTTCCAACACTGCAACAAAACACCTGAAAATAACAGCTTAAAACAACGAAAGATGTGTGATAACTCACGGTTTCAGAGGTGCAGTCCGTGGTCCGCTGGCTGCACTGCTTTTCTGGCTGTGGGGAGGCAGAGGCATCACGGCAAAGAGCATGGCCAAGCAAAGCTGCTCACCTCAGGCAGCCAGGAGCAGAGAAAGAGTGGGAGAGTCTGAGAGGAGAAGGCCAGGGACCGATACGGTCCCCAAGATTACCCCTGTGTCCCACCCCTCAGCTAGGCCCCACCTTCTGCATCTCCATCACTGCTCATTGAGGTCATCACTTCGCTAATCCATCAAAGAATTAATCCTCTGAGGCACTTAGCGCCCTTATGGTCCAGTCCCTTCCGAAAGCTCATCAGCCAGCACCCAGCACGAGGCCTTGGAGGGCACTTTAGACCCAACCATAAGAAGGACCGATTCCGTCCCCAGTGGAGTATACTCCTGCCCTAGTTTCCCCAGAAGGAAGCCTTTTCCTGCAGTCTCAAGGGAGGCCCCTGTCGAGAAAATGCGGTCTTCCCTCCCATGGGTTTAGAAATAGAAATCCCTGGCAGAGACATGTTCAGAAGCTAAATTGCAGCGAAACATATGGCAAGCTGGGCCAAACCCTTAATTTTGGGAAGCCGCATCTACTCGTTTTGCACAGCATAGCGTGGAGGATAGAATTTGGAACTTCGCTTTGAGCTTCTCTTGGCTGCAGTTGTGTGCTAGCTGAGTTCACTTTAGCTCCAGATCCAGCAAGGCTGTTTTTCCAGCAGCTTGCTGAGAAATCAATCAGTAGCCTTGGCTGAAGCCAGACAAATATTTCATTAAAATTGCCAAACGTGTCTGCAGAGCGGTTGCCAATTTGTTTTGGAGGTATTTACTCATTCATTTATTTTCTTATTTGTTATAAACTTAGGGGAGAAAAACAGACCGTAGGACACACTAAACCCCTGCAGCTCTCCAGAGCCCATTCTGGAGGTGACTGTTGTCTAACCCCATTGTTCCGATCGATGTGTACACACTGGCGTGTGCCCTCCTTTTCTTCCTTTTCATTTTCTGTGAAGTAATATTAATAGGAAATATTTAATGAGTGCTTCCGGTGTTCGGCCATTACTCTGGGTTTTTTTAAGCATTAACTCTCTCACTTCTTGCTGGAACCTCAAGGAACCGGTATAATTTTATTCTGATGTTTCTGATAAGGAAGCTGAACACATCCCAGCACACGTGACATATGTCATGTAAGCAACACACTGGTTATTTTATATCTCTATCTTTACGTTAAGATACTCCTGTCCCTTTGGAAGAAAGTTGTTTCATTTATGTTTTGAAAAGTTTTATAAATGTCTTTTCTCAGCTCAGGGGAAGGAACAAGTGTGTTTTCCTTGGATCTGTTTCCCCAGTCAATAAGTCCAAAGGGACGAACAGCTTGGCAGCTCTGGTGACCCACCGCTAGCTTTCTCTTTGGAAAGGCTGCGCTGGTCAGTGATGTCACCAGCAACATGCACGTGTCCTTGCTCGCAGGTCTCTGCTGAATTTGGGTCTCTCCTTCCATTGTATCAGGATATGTGTGTTCCACGGGGGTTCTGTTGCCATACCAGCCTAGGACGGTGTACAAAATATATTAATTCTTCCAGAATCCTCAGAAGTAAGTTGCAGGACAAGAGGGCTTATCCTTGTCCTATAATCAAATAAACAGAATCACATAGAAGTCCGGGAACTCATTTGGCTGGCTACATTAGGAATGAGTAGGTTGTTGTACATATAAGAGGACAGAAGGGCTCTCTCCTACTTCCAACTCACAGCATGTGTTTTGTACTGTGGGTTGTGTCACTTAGCACATGTAACACTATCAAGGAAGAAAGTTGCTCTCCATTTTTTACCTGGATATCGACTCTCAGGGAGGTCAGGTTATTCAGTCCAAGCCACAGAGCTACTGAGTGACAGCCGGTCTTGGCACAGCCCAAATCTGTGCTCTATCACAAGATACATTGCATTGATGTCAGATGCGGACCTCGGACATTCGCAATAGCATGGAACTGACCGAAACAGGAATTAGCTGAAGTAGGTGAAGTGTACAACTGGGTTCCGAGGAAGAACTGGGTGTCGACCGTCCTCAGCCAGCAGGCATGAGAGGACACAGTGTGACCATGTGGGTGGGAGTGGAGACACCACCCCAGGTGTGGCCAGTGCAGTCTGAGTGGGGGTCCACTTGATGTCCCCAACCACCAAACACATCCATCCTGAATCTAGAGTTCAGGGCACTTGTGTGTAGCTCTCAGCCAGCTGCTGCTTCACCCCTGGCCCTTTGCACATGCTGAATTCTAGTGGAGGAGGGGAAGCTAACAGGAGCATTTTCCACCACTGCTCATGGAGAAATAATACTGAGAGCTAGCAGCAGTGACACCAGACACATGTGTTGGTTCCAGTAACCCACACAGCAACCCTGACACCCCTTTCACAGGTAGGGGACCAGAGAGAGACTGATTCTGAGTTACTTGCCCAAGGTCACACACTGGGAAGAAGATACTAAGAATGACTCCAAGCCTCCTGGCTTAAATAATTGCATAGATGCTATGTCCCTGGCAGAGGGTAGTCTAGTGAGACAGAAAGGTTTGGGGGAGAGAAGAGGAAGTGGTGAATCTGACCCACCCCTGAAAGCGTCCACTGATGACGCCGCTCTTGGTGTGGACCTGAATGTAGCTGTGTGCTGGGCACAAAGGTGTGAGGACAGGCGGAAGGGATCTTCCTGGGAAGCTTGCCCAGCAAAAAGAACTGCTGTACAGAGTGTGCCGTGGCTGCGGAGGTGGCAGAGGAGGGAGTCAGAAGAGAAGGCGGGAGCTCCCAGGTGACCGACCAGGGCAGTGACACACGCATGTCACAGGAGCATCGCTGGACAGCGTCGCGGGGTGGACAGCTAGGAGGGCACCGGCCACTCCCGTGAGGGATGGAGCTGGCACCCAGATGGGGTGGTTAAGATGAAGACACCTTAAAAATGAGTGTGAATGCCGGAGGGAGGCTCGGTTGTGAAAAGTACTTTTGAAGCCAGTTCTTGGCATTCGACTCCAGCAGGTGGCGTGAGGAGCCCAACCTCGTTTCTGCAAGAACTAAAGATCACTGAGGTGCATGGGTGCCCTGAGGATGGGAGAGGGTGAGAAGCATCCAGGAAGGTGTCTCCACGCACCCCAGAAGTGGCTGAGCCCTGTGAGCACAGCGTCCTGTGGCTGGAGAAGTACTGGATGGAACCGACTGCTGTATGAATGTGTGCGGTGTGCTTGCGTCTGTGTGTGTGTCTGCATGTGCAGAAAACCACACTTTTGCCTGGATAGAGGCAGTGACAATCAGTACTTGGACTGATTCTGAAAGGAAAGTCTCCAAAGGCCGCAGCCTCTCCTCAGACCTCAGAGGCCCTGAGTTAATCTCAGCATGGCGCTGTGTTGGAAGTTATGGGATGTCCTGTTATTGCTCATTTTTCCCACGATTTTGATTTGGGGTTGGGCTAGAGGGCTACCAAACATCCATCAGAGCCGTGACTGCTGATGGTGAGTGACCACCGAGGCCCAAAATAACAAAAAACTCGCTGTGTAGGCTGCTGGGTTCCTTCATAAACCCCCACAGGGCCTTCTGGTCTGTTTGCCTGGCCTCCCCTGGGCCTTCCGAGGGCCAGCAGGAGCTCGGCTCTTCTGGACAGTCCCTCCCTCGGGGTGAAGAGCGCGTGTGACAGCCGTTCTGCCTGCGCTGCTAGACCGGAAGTCGGAGCACGGTGCCGGCCGGGAGCCTCCTCAGTGGGCGCTCGGCGCCTTTACCCAGTGGCCACAGCCGCCCCGGGCTGTGCAGGGACGCAGATGGAAGCACAGGCGCTGCTGGGTGTGCGGGTCGGTGACAGGGCTCCCTGTAAGGCCAGCCGGCCCCGTCCAAAGGTTCCTCGTCTCCTTTACGGGAAAGAGCTAAACGTGTGTGTGCACATGTGTGTGTGGGTGCGTGTGACATGGACTCACCGTCTGCTCTAGGGGCCTGCTCCAGACAGCTGCACTGACTTGAAGAAGAGACAACACTTGCTTTTAATTCTCATACTTTACACCTTGCTGATCCTAGAAGTCCTGCTTGGATTTGTGTGTTTAATGAAGAGAGAAGGAAAGATCAAAAGGAAGGGGGCGGGACGCACATAAGAAAGGAGCCAGGGCGGGAAGGCAGGCGGGTTCCTTTCCGTGGCATCCTGCTCTGCGTGCTCTGTGGCCTGCATCCTGTGACACTGAACTTCGGGAGCGCGGTGTTCACAGACTGCATCCCGTACCCCTGCGTGACTTACTGCTGTCTCCTTCGATGAAGGAAATGGCACTTTTAGGGTTCTCCAGTCAGCTGCCCTGGGTTGGGACTCCTAGCTCTGACTTCCCTCTCTGCCGCTCTAAGGTCCTGGGCTCTTTTTTCTAGGCACACCGCACGCTTCTGCTGGGAAGACTCTGGAGTCCACAGCGCCCTCCGGCCAGCCCATGCCAGCCAGCACCTCGGCCCTCCACAGGAGCCTGCGGGACATGAAGCGGACCGTGGCTGAGCTCAGGCTGCAGCTGCAGCACATGCGGCAGCTCCAGGTACAGCACAGGGGCGGCGCGGCCTTCGCTGCCCGGCCAGCTTTCTCCTCCTCCCGTCCTCCTATGTCCCCTCCGTGCCACGTCTGGCTGGGCTCTTCCTAGGGGCCCAGCAAAGAGCCAGAGCTCACAACCACACACCTGCAGTCACGGTCTAGAGCTGTCTGTGGAACCTCAGTTGGTCCACACCCACATCTGTAAGTGGCGCGTGCTCTTCCACGTGGGAAAAAGGGAAAACTGCAGCTTCTGTTCTTGGAAGAGAGCAGAAAGGCAAGGAGCCCAGCTCACGGCACGGAACAGGTCCTTCCCCTCCCCGGGCAGCAGGCGCAAGGTGCTGGCTTCAGCCAAGCTTTCTGGTTTTTGCAAGGAACTGTGATGTGTTTAAAACCTGGGAGTTTAGAATAGATGAAGTCATAAGGCACGATGCCATGAGGGATGATTTACTGGGAAAAACATCTGCACTCTATTCGGATAGTGCATTCTGTTTCCCTTACCCCTTTCCTTTGTTACGTAATACACAGCCTCGGGAGAGGCAGAGGGGAGGAAAAGCCAACCCTGCGTGAGATGAGGCCTGGGCCGTGAATCTCAGAGCTGACGGGGGACAGTCGTGGCCTCAGGAGGGGCTGTGCGTCCCCGGTGAGGCGACGTCTTAGAGTCACATGAGTTTCACACCCCACTTTGGCGGTGAGTTGCACACCAAGGATGCAGCCCCGGCTTAGGGTGTACCTTCTCTGGCTTCCTTCCAGAAGCTCAGAATCCAACAGGGCTAAAGGCAGACACGCCCAGAGCCGGGCACTGTGGCACAGGTACGGGCACAACCGGGACGGGAGTGCGACGGCTTCCGGAGTGCTGGGAGAGGACCGAAAGCGGCTCTCCTCTCCGGTGGGGTCAGCGCCACAGTGCCAAGAAAACCCTTTCCCCTGCTTCCTCTCCACTCCCCACCTCCTTCGCCCTTGCCCTCTCCCTCCCTGACAGAGAGCAAAAGAAGGGCAGCTGGTTGGAGAGTCCCACTCTGGCCAGGCTTGGACTGTGAGGATCAGAGGTGTCCTCCAGCCCTTGAAACACGGTATAAATTTATTTAGATCATTTCCACGTCATCTGTGACATTTCCCACCCCTTGCACAGGCCTCACTTTGCAATTTTAAAGACACAGTGGACCAAAATGAAGTGTCAGGGTCGGGCTGGGGGGCGATGTGGGAGTGACCAAGTTGAACGATGTCGCTGTCCAGCAGTCCTGTGACAAATGCAGAGGGACAAGGCCCCTTCAGAGAGCAGTCGCCTCTCGGTCCAGCAACCTCTTCCCTTGACAGAGTCCACTGCTCTAGAGGTGTCAGTGTTTCCGGAGAACCTGGAAATACAGCTTCTTTATGAACTGTGTTTAAGTGTCGGAGGAATTCAGACTCCGTTGTTGGGTGTCTGAAGCAAATGGACACCTCTGCAGGTCGGGTGGGCTGGCGTGGGGACAGGGGCAGCTGCTTCAGCGGGAGCGCACGCCGGCCGGGATACCTCATAGGTGTTACAGCGGGGTCTGGCGCCGTGGCTGTGGCGTTGGTGGCTACAGCACTGCACTGCTGAGACCAGCCCTGTCTGTGGCCCTCCTCCCCTGGGCTGACTGCAGGTCTCTCGCGGTTCGCCCTCCTGGAGACCATTGAACCGCTACAGCTCGGGGCAGAACAGGCTCTTTAACAAAGCCGGCCTTTGGTCCAGGTCTGGGAATGCGTCTTCACCACACACAGTGCCTTACTGCTCCAGAAGTGCTCCGTGCCTCTGTCTCTGTGGAGATAAAGAGCAATGAGCAAAGTGTGCTTGGGACCTGAGAGTGTGTACAGCTCCAGAGCAATCGGAGGGGAAGATAGGGACTTTGTTTCCTCACCTGGCTGCTATTGCTTTTCCCTCTGTCTTTGTGTTCTCCGCATCCTGTGGTCCTACCCCTCACCATTCTGTCTTTTCACCTCTGGGGAGTTCATTTAAAACAAAAGCAACTTGGAATAATTAAGCGATGGCAGGACCGATTGTCCTTCGGTGTGTGCATTATTATACACCAAAAAGGAGCACAGCCTCAAAGCGATGATAAGGCCAATAAAGGAGCTATCATCAGAGGAACCCGGAACCCCAGAAGAGTCTCAAAAGAACAAAACTGAATTAGAAATTCAAATGTTCTTTGAACTGTGTTATAAAATAGCGAAACTGAATGAAATCTTTTGTGCCTGGCAGCCGGCTCCAGTAATTAGATAATTAAATCATTGGAATATCCGAGACTGTGAGCATAGCGTATTTGAGCATTTCATTTGCAGAATGGATGGATTTTTTTCAGAAATACGACTGGGATGCAGACCCTGACTGGGGGTCGGGTGGGTAGATTTCAGCAGGGCGAAAGGACCATCGGGGAGGCAAAAGGAGCAAGAGAACCACCTGACCCTCTTGCCAACACCCCCTGCTCCCCATCAGTCTAGGAAAGGCTCTCAGCACGGGCTGCCCTCGGCAGAAACACTACAGCTGTGGCACTCATGCTGAAGGCTGCGTCACTGGTGTGGGCGGGCACCAGGCTGTTCTAGAGTGTTCTAGGGTGAGAACTACTGCCCATGCTCAGACCCACGAAGTGCTTCATGGTCACGATCGGATTCGTCACCTCTCACGAAGGGGCAGAGAGGAAACAAGTGAGGAAAGTTCACAAGCCCTGCCTTCGGACAGCGTCACACGTGGCCCGTGCTTGGTCATGTGTGGGACACGCACCGCGTGAAAGTCCAGTGTTGCTGGACCTCCCATTCCCAGATAACAGGAGACAGCGAAGAAAGGATCTTGGACGTAACAAGGTGGTGCTCTTTTTGTCCATTGCCTTTTTTGCTATGATTCTTTTTAAAAACTCACTTTTCCTAAGTGATGAAAGACGTCTTTTCCCCCAAATGCCTCGATACTTAGATTTTGCCAAAGTGATTTCAGGCCCACAGAAGGGGCTGTGCTTCTGTCCCTCTATGTGGGATGAGGAGAAAAAGTTTCTGGAAGAGATGATACAGGTTCTGTGGAGGCCAGAGAAGATGACTTAAATTCAAAGAGCCTACTTCTCTGATTCTCACAGTTGTTTTGTTTTTCTTGGACTCTAGCTCCTTATTCTGCTTCTTGATTTAAAAAAAAATGGGTTATTCTGAAGATAGTGTTACATCCTTAAGACTACTGAGAATTTGCTATTTTTTTTTTTTCAGGGAAGAGAGGATCCAACATAAGAAACAGTACACAGAGACCTTGTATTTGAAATTATAAAGTCAACACCGTTATCTTAGTGGGTCTTTTTATAAGATATGGCCTCGCAGAAATGTGTCAAAAGTCTCGTCTTTTTTATGATATCCAAAATAATGATCAGGGGAACGTGTATGTATGTCAGAGAAAAGCGCACCAGAAGCTGGGCTTGGGGACCAGAACTGTTTGCTCCTGCCAGGCAGGAGCAATAAATGGCACTAGTGTAGTAGAATTTGGCAGTGAGGCTCGGTACAGAGCAGCCAGGCAGCCTTAGCCATACCTCCAGGCCAGAGGCCATGATGAAACACAAGCACCCAGATAACACGAAGGAGACCAGGCAGTTTTGCCTTCTTCCCAAAAGCCGAGGAAGAGGCGTCCAGATGGACTGGAGACGTCCTGGGGTCTTTTGTCGGGACGTTTCCCAGATTGTGCTAAGCACAGGTCAGCGACATCAGTCCCATTGTACTGTCCACTGTCACCAAGACGGATTTTCCCTAAGAAATCAGGACTGGGTACCTGAAGTACAGGTCTATTTCGAGGTGCATGGACTTAGATTCGATCAGTTTCCTACTTTGCCTATGAAGCTGATTGGATAACTCGTTTGGTCCAATTAAAATCTTAACGGCCCACAATATTACTTCCGAGTATGTGGATGAAAATGTCAAAGGCATTTTCAATAAATGGTGCCTCTAGCTATGGGAGCAGAACCACAATTCTGCTTGCTTTCCCACTGTTGACAACGGGAGGACGGAAAAATGTAAGGCAGCGACACATCTGACACGGAACCGTAGTTCTAGAAAGGTGGAACCCGGGGAACTGGAGCTTGTGATTGACCCAGGCTTGTGCGGAGGGCACTTTGCAATGTAATTCAGAAAGGAAGAACGCAGGCAGACAGGGTCACCCACTGAGTGGAGAGGATCACACCAGCGGGTAGAGAGCTGAGGCAGGCAGACCTGAGGACTAGAGCACCGGAGAGGAGAAAGTCTGGTGTAGATGGGGCTCCATAACCCTGTGGCCCTGTTGCTGAGGAGTAAGCCAAGCTTAGTATGGAAAGACCAGCGAAGGCCGTGGCGGGGTGGGGTGGGGAGAGATGAAACCTCAGAGCTCACACGCGCCTGGGCTGCTCGAATGTTGTCCATTAAGTGAGTGCGGCTTGTTGGACACCTGGAAACCCAGTAGATATCCAGGACAGGCTGCGCCTCAGTCTTAGACCAACCTAGCCCTACGGTTAGCCCTACCCAAGGTTTGCCTTCACAAAGCTTTAAAATAAGCCTCTAACAGACAGAGGTATCCATAGGAGCTAAAGCGGCTGCTGGAGAAAATCCAGAATCTGTAAAGAAAAACAAGAAATCTGAAAGCTCACACCTAACATACATTCAAAAATTACCAGATAGGTGATGATGGTGAAAGAACGTGACCTGTCACCTTCAGATAATCAGCCAGTAGGAGTCAATATAGCCGGGTGTGGTGGCGCACGCCTGTATTCCCAGCACTTGGGAGGCTGAGGCGGGAGGATTGCTGTGAGTTTGAGACCAATCTGGGCTACACAGTGAGTTCAAGGACAGCCTAAGGTATGCAGTAAGGCCAAAGAAACCAACAGAATGACAAGGGTAATGCAATTAGCCATGTTGTCTTCAAAACAGCTATTACAAAAAAAAAAAAAAAAAAAAAAAACAGGGCCGGGAATTTAGCTCAGTGTTTCCGGCGCCTGCCTCACAAACACAAGGGCCTGAGTTCAATCCCCTGTACCAAAAACAAAAAATGTGTAAAACAGCTATTACAATCATTCTTAAGGATTTAAAGGCACATGTGAAACAGGAAATGGAAGTTATGAAATGTATCTATGCAGATCTTTGAAGAGTTGAAAAATATAGTTTCTCGGTGGATTTAGATGAGACACTGTCCAAAAAAATAATAACAATAATGATCAGTAAACTTGAAAACACAGCTACAGAAGCTCTCAAAAGTGCAGTAGAAGAAGAAAATGAGCTGAAATGTAGTGACAAACAGAGCAGTGTTAAGGGTTCTGTGGAGAAGAGAAAAATGTGTGTGCAGAGATAATGGCTTCAGTTTTCCAAATTTGATAGAAGCTATAAATCAACAGAACAAAGCTCAGCAAGACCTAGACATAAAGGAAACTATGTCATAGTCAAGTTCCTAGAAACCACGGATAAATAGGGCTGGGGATGTAGCTCAGCGGACAGTGCCTACCTGATAAGCGCGAAGCCCTGAGTTCGATTCCCAGCACCCCAAAAAGTAATGTATAAAAATCTTTAAAACAACCCAAAGGGAGAAAACAGTTCATATAAGGAAACATGAATAAGAATGAATACCCTATTTCTCATCAGAAACAAAAGACAAGTTAGAAGATAGTAGAATGACATCTTTAAAGAATTAAAAAGAAAAAAAAGCTTTTTCATAAAATAAAAGGAACTTCCTGACTTTGTGTAGCCAATATTACCCTAAGAACAAAACCAGAGATATAATAATCAAAGAAACTCAGGCCAGCGTCCTTCACGAGAACAGATGTAACAAAACAAATCCCTAACAAAATAATAGTGATGAAATCCAATGATGTATATAAAGGGATGGTAGTAGCCTAGGGAAGCCACTGTATTTCAGTATGGAAAAAATAATAAAATTGACCTTATTCGTAGAATAAAGCAGGAAAAAGTCATCCTTTCAATAAGTACAGAAGAAAATACATGATGTGCTTACCATTGGTGAGTAAAAAGTCTAAGGCATTCAGGAGAAGGAAACTTCTTTGTCCCACAGAAGACACTGCTGCAGTGGTGGAACCCCAAACACATTCCCCACAGAATCAGGAATGAGGCCGAGGAGTCTAATCTCACTCCCGTGTAACACTGGACTGAAGACCCTAGCGAATGTTGAAAGCTAGAAAAAGAAATGTGGGAAGGTGCACCGTGTAAGTGACTTCACTGTACTCACAAATGATGAGATTGTGCACATGTCAAATCAAAAGGCATCTATTTTTAAAAATAAGCAGGGCCAGGGATTTAGCTCAGTGGTTCCGCCGCCTGCCTCACAAGTGCAAGGACCTGAATTCGATCCCGGTACCAAAAAAATAAATAAAAATTAAAATGAGCAGAAGTAAGTGAAGTTAGTAAGATCACCAGAATCAAGGCAGTGTAGAAAAAGATGGCATTTTCAGTCTATGTGTGCAATGGAATAGCACTCAGCAGTAGAGGAGTGAATTACTGACACTCGGCAGCATGGCCAGCGTCTCAAAAGCAGTGCAAGGACTGTGGCTGGGCCGAGGACGCTCGCCTGGACTGTCCAAGGCCCTGGCCTCCATGCCCTGCACTGTATAATAGGGAAGCTGGGTACTGAGTGAACACCGCCAGGCACAGGAGTACGTTCCATATAAATCCACTTACCGACAGTCAAGGACAGCAACGACTCAGCTTAATGACGAAAATCAGACAGGTGCTTTCCTCAGGCTGAGGGTTGGGAGCCGGTGGCAAACGATCATGACGGAAATCTTTGGAGTGATGAGACATGTTACAGTATCTGGCTTTTTAATGCTTCTTACCCCAGTGTAAAAACTCAGGGAGCTATGACTTAAAGTGTGTAGGGTGTGTTTTATCGTTTGTTGTACCTCCACAGATTGATTTAAAAAGCAGAACCATTGCATGTAAGCACCACCTTCTAAACAAAAGCACATCGCTAGTGTGAGGGCTGCTGGCCAGTTATTCAGAGCACCTAGGGAGGGAGCAGGCAGCCTGCTCAGGGCGGGCAGTGGCGAGAACCCCAGGGGGGAGGCCGGGGATGCGGAGCATTGCGGGTAGGAGAAACTGGATGAGGAGCTCTCTTCCTTGGGCCCCGCTGCAGGGCTGTGACAAGTTCTCCCCCGGCCCCTCCTCCTGGAAGGAGGAAAATCAAACCTAGACCTCTAGCAGAGTCCCTCCTCCCTCTTCCCGTGCAGGAAGTTACCTGCTGTTGCGTCTCCCGATGCACGCACACCGGTAGCCTTCCCCAAAATGCGGTGTGACCCACCCGCAGGTCAGAGAGGTGCCAGCTGTGACCAGGAAGTGGGCACGGCACGCACAGGCTGCCCCGCTTTGATGGAGCGGCACCTTGGGGTGCTGCGGAAGCGAGCGGATGAATTCAAAGGACCCGATTCTAATCTGGTCCATGAGCTGTGCTTGCCAAATGACTTGGAACAGTTACCTCACCTCTCTGGGGATTTACGTTTCCTGTCACTGAAATTTCAGTTTTAAGAATTTCCAATGCTGAACCATCCTAGCAGTCGCTTCTGGCTTGAAAGCCATGGGTAAGAACTACCTGCTGAAGAGATGGCGTTATTGCCTGGCTCGCCGGTGGGTTTGGGCAGCAGGTTTGGGGACAGAAGGCTACCCCCCCACCGACCATGGTGCGCTTCTGTCCCTCTGAGATCCTCCTCCTAGACCCTGATGCCGTCCATGGTGGGAAATCAGTCCCCTGAAGGGTCGGAGATTCAGGGTTCATGCTGCACCTCGGGGTAATTAAATGAGTCTTTCGGGAGTGGGACCCTGGTGTGCATAACTTCTAGACCTGGGTAATTGTCCACTTCCTTGTCCCTGATGATCCCTCCCGATCCACTGGACTGGAGCACCCATTCCCTAGCCATGAGCACTGCTCTGTGCATTTAATGGAGCCTTTCAGTGCTGACCTGGAATCCGGCCAGCGCTGCAGTCAGCGCCGGGTAGAGAAGTCAGACTGAGGTTGAGGCAAATCTGTGCTGTGTCCGCTTCACATTTCAACCCATTAAAACCACAGTACCGGATTTTCCTCTGTTCTCTGGTGGCATCAACACTGCTGCTTAATGAAGTGTATTTGACAGATATTTACTGAGTTTGTGTAATATGCTATGTGCTAGGTGTCTCGGATGCTTTGGGGAGGGAAGACTATTTCAGGAGGTGAAAAGAGCAGGTGCAAAGTCCCTGTGGCAGAGAGGCGCTTGGCCAGTCAGAGAAGCTGAGGGATGCAGGTGTGGCCGGCCGCCTACAGTGAGATGAGTCCAGTCGTGTGGGAAAAGGCGCTGTGTAGACAGGACGCGCCACGGAGACCATGTCAAGAAGCTGTGCTCTGTGCACTGTCTCCAGATAGGGGGCATTCAGCGATACGTGGTGAATGGTTCTGAGGCCACCGTAAAAGCGGTGCGAGGTCACGATCGTGAGCCACACGGGGAAGTCCACAAGACCTGCGGGTGGCACATCTGTCCTCGGCTCCCTCCCAAACACAGCCACAGCCCCGCCCCCAGCTTCTGCTCCCCATAACAGCAGCTGGGGTGCGTCTAGTCTCTTACGGGATGAATGCACTGACTCTGCTCGCCCGCCCGCGGTCTCACAGCTCCGACCCACAGTGGTAAAAGGAGAAGCTGACGCCGGGCGGCCTCTCTCCAGGCCGGGCTGTGTAGCTGTCGAACCCGAAGTGGCTTTGCCTGTGTCCTGGGTTTAGGAGCCGTGAGGAGGCGTCGGGCCGGGACCCAGTGAACGCTGTCCGTTCGTACTTCAGGGGAGTTTCGGGGCTGCTGTCCTAAGTCTAACATAATCGCTGCTGCTGCGGCTGATGAAGGGCGGGGATTCCGCGATGGAAGTCGTGTCAGAAAGTCGCCCTGTCCCGGGGACTCTTTCCCCGGTTCTCTTGCAGCCCGATGCAAACATTGCACATCCCACCCTCAGTGCTGGAAGCGCCTGGCACTCGGGCGGGCAGTCGTGAGCAGGGGCGCAGGTGACCCCCGACGTCGCCCACGCCCGTGAGAGCTGCGCCTGTGTCCGTTGGCGACGGTGGGGTGCGAAAAGGCTCCCATTTTCTGTAGGCACAGACGCGAGAGCCCTTTGGTGCACGACTGCTACACCCAGGCTTTGCGTGAAGAAGCAGCGGGGTGCACGGGCCGCGCTCCCTTCCCTGGGTCACGGAAACCAACAAACGCTCGGCTCGGGCTGTCGCCGCGACCCGCGTCTGAGGACCGGTCCGGCGGGCAGGACCACGCGTGGCTGATTTCTTTCGTTCAACAGCTGCAGAACCAGGAGCTGCTGAGGGCGATGCTGAAGAAGGCAGAGCTGGAAATCAGCAGCAGAGTGATCGAGACCGCGAAGAGGCTGGAGGACCCGGTGCAGCGACAGCGCGTCCTGGTGGAGCACGAGAGACAAAAGTACCTTCGCGAGGAGGAGCGGATTGTCAAGAAGCTCGGGTGAGTGGCGGCGCCTGGTGTCGGTCTGCTCGGCCTCTCTGTGTCATCCTTCGTTTTTACGCTTTCTCCCTGCCTCCGCACTGAACCCCTCCTGGGTACATGTCAGAGTCCTGCGGGTCCCGGTGTCCGGAACCCCAGTGTCTGCATCCAAGCCCGAGAGGCAAGGCCCCCAGTACCTGAGCCAGTCTCCCTGCAGGTTGGGCTGTCACACCCTATCCTGGAGCTCCGCGGGACATAAAATTAAAGGGAGCCACCGGCAAGTCCTGGTGATGAATGGGAACTCCGTGTTTAATCGTGATCAGTTAAACTAATGGCCAAAATAACACAGCCGCTACAGAGCTGAAGTTACCCTCTTATTATTCAGCTGTGGTTAAAACCCCAGAAGAATTTCCGTGTAAACTGTGTCTGATGCGGAGTGAACAATGCCGATCTTATCTAAGGTCGTTATTGGAAGCGTTGACCAAGCCCGCTGTTGAAATCCGCAGAGATTTATGGCTTCCCCACGGGGCCAGGCCCAGCTTTCATGTTAATGTGCGTTCTGTTATGCAACAAAGATGTATCAGAACTACTTCATCTTTTAGTATAATGAATAGTAACTTTTGAGGTTCCTCTGTTGTTAGTAACTTTTTGCTTGGAAAGCTTAAATGTTCCAAGTTGGGATTATAAGAAAGCAAGTTTCAAATTCACCTCATGGGCAGGATAACCAGAGGTTTCTGTGATGAAAGTGCGACCCCGGCTCACAGCATCCCGCTACCGGTCCCTGTGTTGGATTAACAGGAGGATGTCCCTTGCGGCAGGCTAGAGGACAAACAACTGATTTGTGCTTTCACTGCCTAATAAGTTAAATTAGACCTCTATTCATCCACGTCTCAAACAGCTTCTCGATTTTTCCTGAGTTCATACATTTATAGAGTGAATCACCTACCATGAGGTAAGAAGTCTATGATTTATCTGAAATATTTTTATGATATTCTGATTATTAAATAGTAGGTTTTATGATTCATCTTTAAAACTTCTGTATAGCCACAATATTTGTAAAAATTTTCTGGTAAGATGATGAAACAGTGAGAAGTTCTTTCCTTTAAAATTTGTGTTTGTTGGTTTACTAAAATAACTCTTGCTTCTGGTGTTTAGAAAAAAATCACCTTTAACCCCGGGACCAGTTCTGAGATGGTAGCTCGGGATAGGAATAAGACAGGCGGGATAACAGGGAAAATGGAGCATGACGGGGTTTTTTCTGCCTGGCTTGTGGGGTGGCTGTGAGTCGACAGGGTGAGCTCGTGCACAGGGCGTTTGACTCTAGCAGAAGCAGAGCGTAGAGATGATCCAGTGCATGGCTGGTGATTTGCAGGTGCCAGGTAAACGTGCACAAAGGAAAGACTGCAGCTGAGCCCAGGGCAGGGGGAGAAGCATGAGGCCCGGGAAGTTATTCCCCACACGCCCCCAGGCCGACCGTGGGAGGCGCCAAAGCAGCTCCACTGAGCTGAGCCGACTCTGAAGCAGGTGAATTTCATCGCACGTCCCAGAGACCTCGGAGGCAGAGGGCCCAGTAACCCGACAATTCTGCGGCCCCGGAACGAGGAGGGACGAGCATGGAGAACCGGGTGGACCGGTGATGCAGCAGGATCGGGTGCGGGACGCTGATGAGGTCTCCCACTTGGACTGTCCTCCAGCCATGGACACTTGCCCGAGGCCGCTCTGGGCCATGCTGAACACTGGAAGCCCCATTAAACCTGCACTTCTGGTTTCCATGGAAGCTCCCAGGCCTGACCCCAGATCCAGAATTGTTCTGAGTGGGACTTAGACGAGCTACGTGGGTGACTCTGCAGCAGCTTCACACGAGGAGGGGGCTGCTGAACGACTTTGATCGATCAGGGAGGAAGCAGAGCGAGGGCTGTGCTTTCCAAAGGCCGCTCTGTGGGTCCTGTGCAGGGCTGCGTGGTGAGCCACACAGGGGGCTGTGTGACCGTCTGGGCAGAAGGCTGTAGAAATAGGAGCGAGAAAAGATGTCGAAGGCACTCAATCAGTCAATCAAGTATATCTTTTTAACATTGGTGTTGAGTTTCCTCTTACCTTGTAAAAGGTATACCTGCATGGGTCTGCCTAGTGAGAAAGCACAGATTACAATAGACAGCCAGAAACTCCCTCTCTGGGAGATGAGGACATTTTCTAATTCCTCCTCCTCCTCCTCCTCTTCTGCCCAAAAACCAAGTTCCTTTCGGGCTGGTGAAGCCGTCAAGAGTACAGAAAGATGAAACTTGGGTCTACAATGATAGACAGAGAGTTTATTGGGGTTATGTCTCTCTCTCCTAGTTTTTTTTTTTTTTTTACAGGGAAATAATAGTTGGACTTCTAACAGTCGGGTCACACATACTGTGACAAGCTACTTTTTAACAAACGTAGAATGAAGGGCAGAGGATGTAGCTCAATGGTGCCACCCCTTGCCTGGCAAACGCAAGGTCCTGAGTTCAATCCTGGCACCAAAAAAAAGTAGACTGAAAAGTAACTAAAACAGTTGAGCTACTGTAAACTGCGGCGTGTGTGAACGCCTGACTTGTGCAGGGGAGCCGGCCTTCCAGGAGTCATTGACCACTGTGTCACACGATGTTCCATGTTGATCTTCGGCTCCGTGGTCTCTTCTGTGGGCTTTGAATCAGCAGATGTAATCTTCACTGCTCCCTCCAAGTACGTTTCATGAGCACACGGACAGCAAGGACACCTCTGTATTTGGTAGCCTCAGTGGACGTTCCTAGAGGGCCCATACTGTGGAGGAAAGCGGAGCCGTGTGTCTGGCATCTCCTGCGTGCAGGTTTGAAAGCCCAGCAGCCTGTTGTGTAGAAGAGATCAGAGAGGGTTTTAAGCACAGTAACTTCAGGTCAGATGGCGGCTCCTTGTGGGGAGAATGGCGGACAGACAGACCTGTGGGTTGTGAATGGAACTGTAGCAGGATTTGGTCCGAGCTCGTCCATGACAGCTTGGCTGGGGGTGCAGCCAGCACAGGAAAGCAAATTTTGTTAAGTCCTTCCTGTCATGGGAAAGAAGTACACCTTGAGTGAGACTCGGGGGGCACCACGGTCTCCCCACAAGGATGGAGTCGCTACAGGGAATGTCCGACAAGTATGTGCCTTCCTGTTCTCAAAAGGGCCACCGGGCAGGCGTGCCTTCCCTTTTGGTCCCGAAAGGACATTGTTTTATCAGAAATGGTTAAAAGCCTTTTCTGTACGGCATGAGCATCACCACATATGATATCCTACTTAGAGGTCTGGGGCTTTGTCACCTGCCTCACGGTCACCTCCTGACTCCTTTCTGAGCCTGCCACGGTGCCACCCGCTTGCCCGCCCTTGGAAAGGGTCTTCCCTCACCGGCTGTCTCTTTACAGGGGACACTGAGCCTTCCCTTGGCTCTGCCCCCTGGTTCTCTTCCACGCTAGGCTGCAGGCGGCCGAATCGCTGTTCACTTACTGCCACCTAGTGGCTCTGCTTTTCCTGCGTCCTCCCAATAGTCATTAAGAAATATTTTCTCTTGCTGAATTCACAGCCAAACTGAAATGGTACAATGGAAGTTTAGGCTGGTTAGTAATGTGCTGGGGAAGGTTGTCGTTTTTGTTGTTGTTTCCAGTGGAGCTGGCCTCTCCCTACACACACACACCCCGGCAATGAGACCTGTGATCATTGTTTCTCTTTGTAGCGTGGAGAGGAAAGAGTCCATCCCCGGTCAGGGACAGTTTTTTCCTCTTCTCCAAGGGCACTTGGCAGCGACTGGAGACCTCTTGAATGACACACATTGCAGGGGACAGGGAGGAGCTCTTACTTACCTCCACTAAGGTGGAGGCCAGAGCTGCTGCTAACCTCTCGAAGTGCACAGAACAGGCCCTCACAAGAGGAATTGGGGGGTCCAAAATGTCAAAGAGAGAAGTTGAGAAGACTTCATTTTACCCAGTGTGAATCTGCCCCATTCCCTTCCCCCCGCCCCAGGTGGCATCAGCACTGCCAAAATGAAGAATGTTTTTGCAAACAAGCACCACCTCCCCCAAGCCAGACCCCTGCACTGGAGCCTGGGAAGGCTTTCCCATCCCTGCCACAGCCCTCAGGGACCGCCCCGGGCGGCCCCGCTGCTGTGCCAACTGCTCAGGTCTCAGGAGAGGCCCGGAGGGGCTGAGGGCAGAGTGTGTGCCCGGGACCCCCGGCTTACGCTCCATCTCCCCCTCTGCTTCACACACAGTGAGCTGGAGGACTTTGTCGAAGACCTGAAGAAGGTCTCTTCTTCCGCTGGCCGGGTGGTCACCCTAAAGGACGTGGAGGATGGGGCCTTCCTCCTGCGACAAGTGGGCGAAGCCGTAGCAACCCTGAAAGGTGAGTGCTCTGCAGAAGGGGGGAAGCTGGAAGTGTGTGCCCTGGATGTGTAAAAACCTGTCAGACGGGGCCGGGGATTTAGCTCAGTGGTTCTGCTGCCTGCTTCACAAGCATAAGGACCTGCATTTGATCTCCCATACCAAGAAAAAAAACCAAAATTGTCAAATAGTAAAGGATTCATACATGCATGCATGCAAATCTTTATCAACAGCTATACACACCAGGCACTCACCTGGGACACCTCACAGAACAAAGTAGGCACACACTCCTGTCTTCCTAGAGCTTATGTTTTAGTGGGTACCTTATGATGTCAGATAAATGAGACCTGGATTCTCTCTACTTGCTTTTCTGAGCTGGGCTTTTATATTGGAAGTGTGTGCGGACCCCTGCGCCAAGCTCATTAAAAACCACAGGTTCAGTTGGCCTTTTCCTAGATATCCAGGAAATGGGCAAAGCGGAGCCATGACCTTGTCCAGGGTCACCTGACCAGGCCCTCCTCTTGCTGTCCTGCGCCCATGCACACACGAACCCCAGTGTCAGGCTACCGGACGCGGTGCTGTGGCCTTTCTTCCTAGCTCTCACCAGTGGTTTGGTCTGCAGGAGAATTTCCAACCCTACAAAACAAGATGCGTGCTGTCCTGCGCATAGAGGTGGAGGCCGTGCGCTTTCTGAAGGAGGAGCCGCACAAGCTGGACAGCCTCCTGAAGCGCGTGCGGAGCATGACCGACGTCCTCACTGTGCTGCGGAGGTGACTGATGGGGTGGGCAGGGCGGGGCGGTGGAGGTGGTGGAGCTGATTTCTGCCATCCCCAAAGGTAGTGTCTCCTGTGCGATGCCCTAGGACATCTTATGTGTCTTCTCTTGCCTGGATCTGTGTTGCAGGAGGGTGTGCGGTTGCAGGAGGGTGTGCGGTTGCATTTCTTTGGTCCAGACTTGCATGCTGTGCTCATTCTAGAGTTTACAGTGAGCAGACATGGCCAGGGATGTTGCCCAGTGGGTAGCACTTACCTAGCATGCACAAGGCCCTGGATTCAATCCCCAGAGCCACAGAAAAATTAAATTTAGTGTAAAAATAAAATTAGTGAGCACATGGGGCCAGGGATTTAGCTCAGTGGTTCCGCCACCTGCAAGCACAAGGACCTAAGTTCAATGACCAGTACCCCTAAAAAAAATTAGTGGGCACAGTAAACGTTTTTTAAACATCATTTGAAGGTGAGGGTTTGGGGGAAACACTTAAAAGTTGGAGAATGGACTAAAACAGTCTCCTAGCTGGCCTCACTTCAGAGGCACAGATGGTCGGTTAGAAAAAGTGAGCAGAAATGAATAAATCTTCCTTCAGTTACCTTCTGCAAGTGTACCTGAGAGTTTATGTTGTGGCCTTGAAAAGAGAATTAAATCCCTGTGCGTGGGCTCGGCCAGTTTCCTCAGGACAGGCGTGCTTATCAAAGTGGGTAACTGGAGGAGTCGGAGAAGAGTCACTGGCCATCCACGACTTCCATGGGAAAGGAAGTTCCAGAACGCCACACCCACTGCAAAAGTGCCTGCAGGGGCAGGTGTGTCACTCAGAGTTAGAGAAACTGCCTGGCACACACTTGGCCCTGGGCTCCATCTTGAGCCCCACAAAAAAAAAAGACAGAAGGAGGAAAGGAATAAAGAAAGGAAATAGTGCTGACCTCTCAATATGTAGGATCTAATAACTTCCATGTCTGGGCACTTTCTCTGCACCAGGGTACTGCACTGAGCCCCTTCTGTGCCTTAGCTCATGAAGTCCAGGAACTGACATTCCCTTTGCTCTTAGGTGGAATCTGAGGCTTGGGAACATTCACTATGAGTCAGGTGGGGCTGGGTGGGAACCATCAGTTTCACTCCAGAGTTGGGAGTGTTTTTTATCTCACAGCCAGGCAGCCAGGAAAATTAGTATGTTCTCAGGCAGGGGATTTAGCTCAGTGGTTCTGCCACCTGCCTTGCAGGCGCAAGGTCCTGAGTTTGATCCCTGGTGCCAGAAAAAGAAAATCAAGACATTCTCTCTGTGCGGCATTCCCTGCCTGCTGGCCCATGCTGGATTTGCTGGATGCCATGATAAGCAAGACCCCCGCCCTTATAAAACTTACTGTCTCACCTGGGAATTGTTGGTCTTTTACAACAGCCAAAATAAACCACTTCCCAACAGTGGCAGCCCCTGGGATTTTAGTGGGTTTTTTGGTTTTGGTTTTTGTTCTTTGCTAGGACTAGCAAAAGTGTAGGGTAGCTACCAGATTTTTTAGTAGATCCCATACAGAATTAACATGCAAGAAGCTGTCTCGTGGGAATTTTAATCACCAATTACAATCATGTGGTCAGATTTATGAGGAGAGTTACAGTATTGGGCTTCGCACTGCTCTCTGTATGTCACCCACAGACAGTGATGGATTGGCGTCCATCCGGGCAGGCACCACAGTCTCCTGAGAAAGGCCTGGAACCGCATCTGAGAGGACGGGAGGGCCCAGCAGACCTTTAGGAAGTTGCTACAGAAACCCTCACCCCTGAATGTTTTTGTCGCACCCGGCTTTGGCGTGCGTGGCATTCAAGTGTAGCAGAATAGACAGTTGAAAGTGACACGAGTCAGTGGCTAATGCTGCTGTGCGTGTTTCCTCCTAGACATGTCACCGACGGGCTCCTGAAGGGCACAGATGCAACCCAAGCCGCACAGTATGTCGCTATGGAAAAGGCCACCGCTGCTGAAGTCCTGAGGAATCAGGAGGAGGCAGCCCACAGCACCGGAGTCCCTGGAGATGTGAAGTCGGAAGTGGTGGCCCTGTCCACCATGACGGTTCACCACGCGCAGAGCTCCCCCGTGGTCATCCAGCCCTCCCAGCACTCCTCGGCTCTGCTGAACCCTGCCCACAACGTGCCTGGGGTGCCTGGCCCACGCACAGCCAGTCCTCCGGGGGCCGCACAGGAAGTTGCCCCTGCCACACAGTCCCCTCAGGCACCTGTGAATGGGTCCGCCATGCAGAGCCTGTTCATTGAGGAAATCCACAGCGCAAGTGCCAAGAACAGGGCTGTGTCCATCGAGGTAGAACCCTGTTCCTGCTTCTAAGAAAGCCATACACGTAACCCTTTCCCTCAGGGGGTTTACAGTCAGGATGGAGAGTTGCTGTATGATTCAGTAGGACAAGGGAGGGTCCTCTGGGTTCGCCTCTCCCATAATAAGCTGAGTCACCCTTGGAGACAGCTCGGACGTGTAGCAGCTGCCTATTTTCATGGTGCAAATACCCCTGCCACAGCTGATGTGGGTCTCTCACACGCCGCCCGAGCATGAGCTTAGGGAGAAGCGGGGCCATCAGAGCACACTGAGCCAGTGCGGGCTGCTGGCTGAAGCATCCAGTGTGCTGCAGGCAGACCTGGGGAGGGTTTGCCTCGAATACTGGGAGAACGGAGAAGGCGTTGGGGCGTCCTGGGATGGAGGGATGCTGGAGAAATGGCCTTTTAAAATAAACGGAGGTACTTCAAAATATTTTTAATGAATCTGGACCGTGAAACTTGGTGAAGCTCGCGGGTCGTCTCCACGTTCCCGTCACACTTTATAACTGAGAAACTGACCCAGAGGGTCCCGGACAGAAGTAGAACTGAAAGGGAGAATGTTTATGCATTCAATTTACTTTTAACCTATGTATTAATACATAATAAATACACACAATAACGGGGCACCGTGTGATAAAATCAGGACATAGGATTTTTGTTGTTGTTCGTGTGTGTTTTGGTTTTTAGCCATTTGTTTGAATACCTCCCTAATGGAGATTCAATCTTCAAAACAGAGGTACGGTAGCGGAAGACATACCTTTGAAAGTGTCACCCGGGTCCCTTGTTATTTAGCATGGAGGCGTGTGTGGCAAGCACCCAGGGATGTAAGGGGTAGATTGGGGTTTCTGAGCTTGCTTCTCTGTGGATGAATGTCACTGGGCTGAAATCACAGCCCCCGTGGCCTGACGTGGCAGACAGCAGAAGGCCCGGGTGGCGGTGCTGTCCCTGCAAGCATCCCACAGATGGAAACCAGGGCATTGTCTTACCTCACCTCCCCTATGCTGGCCTCCCCTCCCTCTGATGTGAAATCTCCCAACTTTCTTCGCTTCCATTTTCCTTCAGAAAGCAGAAAGGAAATGGGAAGAGAAAAGGCACAATCTGGAGCACTATAACGGAAAAGAGTTTGAGCAGCTGCTGGAAGAAGCTCAGGCCAACATCATGAAGTCGATTCCGAACCTGGAGATGCCGCCGGCCTCGGGCCCCGCACCGAAGGGCGTTGCCCCAGCAGAGAAGCCGGAGCTGTCAGGTGAGGTCGGGGCCCCGAGCAGGCACCTCGGGAGCGAGGGCGGTGACTCCTCAGTCTGGTGTCACCCGCGTGTTCGGGTTGGACTGAGGGACCGGCATGCCACTTCCGAAGTGTGAAACCCAGTATCCCCTAGGTCCTTTCTACTCCAGTTTAGCTCTCCCCACAGCAGGAAAGCCGTGTTCTGTGACAGGATTTAGAACAACGTCCAGTAAAGAAGCATGTGAATTCGCCGGCTTCTGAGTTTCCTACAAATGTGCACTATGTCCCAGCACCGCCTGGGGGAATCCAAAATCCGGAAGGAAATGCCAGCCCTTAGGAGCTCCCTGGGGATATCAGAGCACTTTTTAAATTGCAGTTTTTAAAGCACAATTCTTAGAATATACAGTGGCATGTTGGTTCACAAACTTAATTCATTCTATGATTCTGGTTGCAACCAAATCGTCAAGTGACCACCTCAGTTATGGGAGTCTAAACATCGGTATGTCGTGGTTTGGCCAACAGTGGACTGTGTGAGACTGCTGGCCTCATAAGAGTGCACAGCCCAGGGAGGTAGTCACCATCAGAGCTCGTGTAGGTACAGTCTGCGTGCACGCACTCTGGTGTTCACACTCAGCAGACGTGCCTAAGGACACATTTCTCAGACTGCATCCCAGTCCTTCAGTGCAGCTTTCCCAGAGCTCAAACTGTTCAGTCTTCCACCAGTGATGAGCTGTGGCTTTATTCTGATCTTGAAGCCATGTTATTTTACTTGCAGCCCTAATGTTGCTGCGATGTCCCATTCGATGGTGCCTTGTCCAGTAACTGAAATTAATTTGGCCAGGGACTGTCTTCTTACCAGACGTGACAAGAAGCGGTGACTGGGTTTGGTTTCCACTCCCTGGAATCGGGCTGACACCTGCCTGAGACTTCATCCCTCCTCCCTGCTTCCCCCGGGACACCTGTCTGGGGACCCTGGGGGCCAGGCAGAAGCCGCCCCTCCGAGAGGACTGGGAGGCGTGGGTCCTCTCTCCATGCCCCCCACCTCTGACGGATGAAATAACCCACTTGGTCGCATTTCTGTCTTGCACCATTCTGTCCTCCACCGTTAATTTTGCCCTGTCGTCCTTCAGTGCAATTCTCACAACTGTTCCTTCTCAGGTTTGCACAACGGAACTGTCACGTGACATCTTTGTTGAGTTACCCTCGTTTTCACGTTTTACTCTTTCAGACTGAAACTCTCTTTGCCTCAATTGTAAAAATTACTCCAACAGCACGTTTGCTCAATTGAAATGTTGTTCATGCCTTCCTTTCCCTCCCCGTCTCCCACTCCCTTCCTCCTCCTCCTTCTCCTCTTTCTTCTTCTTTAGTGCACACTCTGATTTCTTCTCAGAAACAGTCCACTGGTGCAGAGCTCACCGGAAATGTAAGAGGCCATCATCCATCACCTATAAACATTGGTTGCTGTCATTTTCATCCATTTTCCATGGATGTTACTGTTTTGCATATTTGTGTTTATAAATGAAGTAAAATTCTACATTTGAGGTTTTTAAAAGCCATTTGTATTTCTCCTGGCATCAATTGCCTGATTACCTAAATAAATAGGATACATAGCCATCAAAAAGTCAGTGGAAAAATTTAGCAACTGCAACTTCGTCCACTGGCAAAGAAAAATTATTCACTGGATGCTTTGTTAAAAAAGCAAGAAAGCTTTAGGCAAGACCCTTGCAATAGGGAGTAAGAAAACAAGTCTTGCTGAAATGACTTAGCTGGAGTCTTTGCTAAAATTACGCTCAGTGACCAAGGTGTGCTGAGGTCAAGAAGAGACGAGAGGATTGGCCAGAGCACGGTCGGGAAGGGCTGTGTTCTCGCAGAGCAGAGAGAGGGAGGGTGGCCCCTTCACAGCTGCCATCGAACAGCCAACACCCTGAGGCCCGAGAGTCACTCGCTTCTGGCTCTGGTGATGTAACCAGGTCCAGACAGAGATTCAGGAGTTCCCTTCAGACAGCTCAGTCTCGGTTCCCTGGAGAAGAACCATGGTCCTCGAGCGCCAGGCCACGTCCCCATCCCCAAGAGGAGGGACAGCACCAGATCCTGAATTGCAAGTTCTAGCGCTTTTGGTCAGATGCGGATAAAACGCAGAAATGAGACCTTTGAGGGGCCATTTGTGTATGGAAAGGGCTGCGTGCTAGGAGAAACAGCACCGCCTGCTCCTCCTAATCTGAGTGTTGGAGACTCATTTACAGTGCTCTGATTGCCCCTGGCTCTTGTTAGCAGTCTTTTCCAGCCACCCCCAAAGTCTACTTCCTCCCTGGCTTTGTTCTTTATTGCCATTTCCTCTCTGGCCCTTCCTTGGCCAGATTCTCCTCTAACCTTCCCCTGTGTAAATCCCTTTGGTAGTGCTATTTTTTCCCCCTTTGGACCAAAAGGATCAAGGCTTGGGAGGCTATGCAGAGAGTCTAGGATTTGCCTGGTTTCTCATTTTACATTTTTCTGGGTGATACTCCGCTTTTTTGCGTAATGAAAAAAATATGTTTAATAATAATAGCTAACACTTCACCTAGCACCTGTAATAATTGGGGGCTGTGTATAAGTCACTCCGTTCTCAGAGCTCCCCAGTAGCCAAGATATTGGCGTAGACGCAGTCAGGGTTCAGAGTCTACTCTCCGCCGCTGTCCTGTGGGAAGAAGAGGACGTTTTAAGACCAGCTGCGTCATGTTTATGGGATACCCTGGACTTTCTGGGTGTTATCTTGAAAAGAAGTGGTGTCCGAACACCTTGTCTTCCAGAAGACTCTCCGAATTCAGGACAGGACCCGGACGCGATGCGGGGAAAGTCCCCGCCGCCGCCACCCCCGCCGCCTAGGCGCAGTTTCCTGCCCGGGCTGGGCCTCACCACGACGCGGTCGGGCGACGTGGTCTACACCAGCAGGAAGGACGGCAGCGGATCTAAGGTTAGACGGCTTGAGCCCGGGCGGGCAGAGTGGAGTGGGAGCCAGCTAACCCGATCCCCAGGCGGTGCTGCACAAGGGGCGTCAGCCAGTGCTGCAGACCCTGAGCGCCATCCGGGCCTGACTTGTAGCTGTGACAACGTGAGGTGCAAATCACAAGCTACTTCCTCGGGAGGGCAGGGCGTCACGAGACTCAGACAGGGTAGGGGAGGAAGCGAATGAGAGACCATCTTACAAGAGTCATCAACCAGCCCCCACCCCCAGTAGGGGTTTATCTAGAAAGATGTTCAATGAGCTGTAGCTTCCGTGTAGCTTGGCAAATTCTGTCCCCTGTTCAAATGAAATTTTAAAATATAATCTCCAGAGCAGGGCGTGGTGGCACACACCTATAATCCCAGCCCCTAGGAGGCTGAGGCAAGAGGATTGCTGCAAATTTGAGGCCAGCCTGGGCTACAGAGCAAATCCCTGTTTCAAAATCACCCCTCTACCACCAAAAAAAAAAAAAAAAAAAAAAAAAAAATTTTTCCAA